CCACTAAGCACGGTCCCTCCCAGGGTCTGGAGCCCGCTTCTTTCCCAGGACCTGTGGCTGCAGTAGAAGAGGGTCAGGGGTGGCACAGGGCTGGAGCAGCAGACTTGAGCATCTGGAAACAAGGAGAGGAGAGGTCAGGGGATTAAACCGTCTGGTGGACACGCACCACCAGTAGACAGAGAGGGCAGGACTTTGCAATATCAGCATGTGGGAATCCCAGTGACTGCGGGGCCATGGGTCCTCTTGGCTTGGGCAAGTCCTTTCTCCGGCTTGGCCTGTTTTCCTTCCTGTACACCCTTTTCCCCAGACACAAATTCCCACTGGCCTCTTCCCTCCAGGGCCACGGCCAGGGTGATGGGCGTCGCATCACAGCTGTCTGCGTTTTCATGTGCAAAGCACCTGGAGAGATGGGATTGCTGTTCCTTGCTGGGGCTGCCTCTTGCCTCCACTTCACACAATCCCCATGGGTCTCAGAGGGCAAGCATGGCTCATCTTCAGGAAGCCTTCTCTACTGGCCTCTGGCCTTGCCCCTCATCACAGCCCCTTTTTCTGCCAAGAGGACCGGTTCTCCCACCCATCTGTTTCCTGGGCCACAACAGTCCCCGCATCTTGCAGACCCACTGCATGGCAGATCTCGTGCTAGACGTCTTTCCAATGCTGGGGGCCTAGGGTGGACTTTTTCCCTTCACACCCGCTAGGAAAAGGAGGCTCTGGGCCATAAAGTCATCTGTCCAAGGTATCACCAATAGGAAGTGGCAAGGCTGGGAGTGTCCTGACTTTGCCCTTCAGTCTAAGAGGCTGCCTTCCCCTTCTCCTCCCCCTCGCACCCCTCCCCCTCGCACCCCTCCTGCTCATCCTGCTCTTCCTCCTCCTGCCTCCCATGGCACCAAGCACGAGTTTGGGCACACAAGAGCACAAGGCACAGCCGGCTTCGGGGTCCTCGTTCTACTCACATGCTGGGCAGGACAAGGGTCCTGTGGGGCTCCCCAGAAAGAGAACCAGTCAGCTGCTGATCCAAGGTCGCCAGAGAGTAGGGCACAGATGGAGGTTCTGGGGGCCCATTGAACGGCTCAGGCCCTGGGGAGCCCTCCTGCAGGGGCAGAGACCACAGAGTGGAATCAGGCACCAGGCCGGCTGTGGCGAGAGGAGGTATGAGCATGTTTGGGGACAGAGACAGGAGCCCAGGATGTCAGGCTCCGAAGACCTCGAAAGACTGGCCCGTCTTACCTTTCTTTTTACCTCAGGGGATACTGAGGCCCGGGGACAAGTGACTTTTTTCCCCAGGTCACACAGCAAGTCAGTGGCAGGGTTGGAAATAGAACCCATGGCTTTGGGACCCAGCAGTGGCTAGGTGGCACCCTCT